TGTAAATAAGCAAGGAGTTGTTGCTCATATCTTGCATTAAAATACTTAGGTGTTTTTCATTGTACTAAAAAGTCTGTGTAATCTGCTTACAAGAAGCAAATCTATAATACACTGAAAGTACTCAACTGTTGTTGAATGATACATTGAGAGACTGGGTGAAGGTATAATCTCAAGAAGACTCCTACTACGGCTTGAGTGGATTTACCATAAGGATCGACGAACTTATTGGGGGTGCCAATAAGGTTGATCATACTTATTATGGGTTATTCTATAATCAGTTTAGTTAGAGTGGATTAAGTCCTTGTTGAAGGCAAAATCGTCCTTGCGAGGGTGGACTGGAGTAGATTAGTTAACAACGAACTAGTATAAAAATAATTGTGTTCATTTACTGTTATGTTCTAAGCTAACTTGATATGTCACCGAAAAAAAGATTTTATTTGGTGAAAATCAATTCAAACCCCCTTTTCTTGTGTTTCTCTCACCTTCACAGGTGTCCTCGAGTGGAACTCACATCTTGCATTTGCACTGTGTCCTAAAGGGAGAGAGGTGTTGGAGGAGGCAAAAAATATCTTATTTCATTCAATTAATGGTGGAGAAGGTGAGGAAGTAGTTGATTGTAATCATATGAACTGCATTCCACTTTCTTTTTGGCTTCATTTGCTTCTGATGTTTCTGCTGAGAGTAATTATGCTGTTGTTTCCGATTTAGGAACTGATTTTGTCCTTGCACTTGTATCCTCTGGCTTGGATGAGGCATATGCAATGGCTGCGGGAGGGGAGGTTATGGAATCCAAGGTTGAAAAGGATAAATGTAAGGTAGTTCTTGACTTGAAGTGAGACCTGATAGATAGGAAGGATTGACCATTTCTGCTACAGTAGTTGGTGCGGGATTTCCTTCCTTCTTCAATAGTGTTTGTAGGACCTCCATAATCAACCACATATGGGTTATAATTTGATTGACCTCTGCCTTTAACAATTATTGTTCATGTCGAAGTTCGTCCATGGTCACCGGTCATCCATTAGGAGAAGTGTAGGGAGCAACAAGGGTGAGCTTAGTAACATTATGTCTGAGTTTTTCTTGTCCTTGGATAACAGTGTGGAGAGTCTCGAAGCTGGTTCATCCTACTACCCATGATGTTCATGTCCCCGCGGGGGAATTTTGATTTTGTTCAAAGAGATCCGTGATTCTTCAATAATTGCTTCTGGTACGATACGAATGTAGGGAAGTTGTCTTTGTTGATTATGAGCAGAAAATGACCCCCATGAGCTTCTGATTCCTGAGCATGAAATGCATGATAGTGTGAATGCATGCTTTATTTTTCATTTCCAGGGAAACCCAAAGACTTGTCTATCCATAAGTATTCTTTTGACAGTATTTATCTTTTGAAAAGCTCAACAAAAGAGACTTGTCTCTGGAATTACCTAGAAATGGGAATGCATATACATAATAATATGATGTCATGGTATGCATTGGCATGAGATCAAAGCTCCACAAAATTTGGGTAACCACTGCATAATCCTCTGAATAATTGTTGTACAATCCTCTGAATAAGTCGAACATAACATGATCAAAAGTTCAGACCAATCTCTGAAAACAAGAACACAGGGTGTGATGAAGATCAAAGTTTCCTACAAAACAAAGCACATACCCCTCTCACACGTGGGTTCTAGTCTTGAAAGAGGTTCCTAAAATGTTCCCATAGTCGTGAGTCCTACATGGAAAAATATCATCATAACATAGACACACATAACGATAATATCCCCCAAGTGAACCTCGCCTGAGTATGACTCTCATGATCGCACTAGTAGTGTCTGTACCTAGTAGGCGTCATGACTATCCACTCTAATCTTGTGGGTAAAACTCAAGTCTGGGTAATGGGCTTATCTCTCAATAGCATCACCTATCCCACATAGAACAATATAACATATATCCAGAATATGAATAATAAATGCAATGAATGCAAATGTCAATGAATACGATAAATAAAGCAAGCAAATCATATAAATAAACATCCAAAGAAACAAATAAATGAAGCTAGAATTGACTTGCATGATCATCCTCAGCAGAGTCTCCAGCTAGGATTGACTGGGCAAAAATTGTTAGAGCTAGAGTTCTTAGAAAGCACGGGGCTATAAATTATCATATTTTCTCAACTCTTTCGTATGGAATCAAACCTGAATTCAATTTTCTGATGTCTAAAATTGCATGAAATATAGGTAAAGATAGGCATATAAAGTTTTGGAAAGATTCTTGGTACGACGAGCCTATACTGTAGAAAACATGTATTAGCAATCTTCAAAGGCATGTCATTAATTCAAACATGGTCATTACAGATGTTTGGATTAATAATCACCGGTGCATCCATTCCGCTTGGCACGACTTGTTCCCTTTTTTGGATCAGGACTTGGAGCACTGTACCAAGACTGGAAGTGATATGGATAAGGTAATTTGGCCTAGTTCCAATGATTGTAAGCTCTCTTTAAAGCTAGCTTATATCATCAAAGCACAACCTTCCTTCTCAAATCTTTTAATGTAAATTGGCATCCTCCTAACATATCTTGGTTAAAATGCAACTGTGATGGGGCAATGGCTTCTCAACCTAGTAGCTGTGGAGACATCTTTATAGATTATTTGGGTAACTTTGTTTTTGGCTTTTCTGGACCTACTATGATTTCCAACTTCTTACATGTTGATTTCTCTGTCATTTTCTGAGCAATTGACATTGCGAGAGATAAAGCATGGTCTAAGCTTTAGATCGAATATGACTCTCTTGTGGTAGTCCAAACTTTTTCAAAGGAATCTCTTATGCCTTGGAAACTCAAAGGTAGATGGCTACACTATAAAAGTATAGTTTCTAATATATCTGTATTTACATGGAAGAAAACTCATGTGCGGACTTTTTTGTTAACCTGGTCGCATCTCTGATACTCTAACATTTTTTAAAGCCATACATATAAATATTAGAAGTGACTTTGTAAAAAACATGGAAGAAAACTCATGTGCGGACTTTTTTGCTAACCTGATTGATCTCTGATACTCTAACATTTTTTGAAGTCGTACATTTTTTAGGTTTGTTTTCCCTTAAAAGTAGGGATAGCAATAAACTGAACCAACTCGAAAATAGCTTGAAACTCGGTTCGACAATTAAATTGTTGAATTAGGTTCATGAAACAAATGAGCTGAATACGAGCTAAAACAAATTTCGTCAACTAAATGAGTTGAACTTGAGCTATACATAATTCGACTCGTTAGATTCATGAGTCAACTCAATTATATATGAGATGTATTATATTATTTTTAAGAGTAGGTTTAAAGATTTGTTCTAAGTCTTAGCCCAATATTTTCTTTTAATCTAACGATTTTAATTGATAATTTATATTCTCAAGTGACCAAAATATTTCTAAAAATAATTATACATATAAAATCAACATCGTATAAATTTCAATTTTATAAATTTTACTTTATTTCTATATTTTTATTAAAAAAATATATCAATTTAAAATGTCAAATGTATAGAAAATATATAGACTTTAAAAAATGATTTTCAAGTCTGTGAAACAAACGAGTTAAACCTAACGAGATGAACCTAACAAATTGAACCTAGTTGTTCGTGAACTTCTAACGAATTGAGTTGAAGCTGAAAATAATATTCGTAACAAACTCGAACCGATATTTGAGTTGAGCCATTTCTTAACGAGTCGAGTCAAATTTAAACGAGTTCGACTCGACTCAACTCATTTTCAGTCCTACTTAAAAGGGTCTTGGACTAATTTTTTTGTTGTGTACCATATTTTTATTTTTAATGAATTGCCTTATTTAAAAAAACATCAACACCACTCACACGTTGAAGAAGAACTGAGAATTCAAAATCCATCAACAAGTTTCTTAAAAACCTTTATTTGAAATTAAATTTTCTTCATCACAAATATTAATTTACAAGGGATTCTCTCCATCACAAACTAAATAGAAAGAAAAAAAAAATGAAAATCACATTAAAAAAAATCTAAAAATGGAACAAGGGTTTAAGGGTTTAATTTGAAAAAAAAATTAATATTGGTGAACAAGGAAGGTTTAATTTTAGAAAAATCTGATTTAAATATTTTACTTTTATTATCAAAATTAAAGATTATTTATAATTTTAAAATGTTTTATCCATTATCAAAAATAACTATTAATTGAACGGTTGTATACAGATTTAATTTAGATTTTTTTAAAAAAATTTATTTCAAAAATAAAATATTAATTTAAAATATTAAAATATTAATAATTATTAAAAAAAATTATTAATTAATATAATAACAATCTTAAAATTTAAAAATGAGAATAACACCAATTCACTCTAAATTATAGTTGAAAAGGATACATCATCAAAGCTGATTAAAAAATACTACCAACCAAGCATGATTTAGAAAAAAAAGTAACGAATACTTTAAACTAAAGACATTTATAAACATTATAAATATTATAAATAATTAAATAAGCTATTATTAAGAAAAAATATTAAAAAAATTAATTTTTAGTACAATACTCAAATTTTTATAAATATTAAAACTTTCCCTTTTCAATGCATTTTCCCTTTTCAAATCATCCTCTACAAATTCTTCCCTAAAATTTTCCGTCAATTTCTCGCCATGAAATTTCCTCTTCTGGGTCTTTCTTTTTAGGACCTAAACTATACAAAAGTTTTGTTTTTTACTATTATTTTCGAATTAACTATTCTAGTAAAAAAATTCCATTTCGAGGTTTTTTCATGTTAAGGCTATCTTTAGAAGATACCCTTTTGCCGCCTCATAATAGTGTATGATCAAAGTTTGCTCTTTTATCAACAATTGCATTGTTCCACTCAATTTGTTCTAGGGTTCAAAATGATGCAAAAGTTTTATTTTCTTTGAATTTTTTTTTATGTTGGAAGGAAATTCATTTCAAAATTCTGTTTTATTTTTATTTTTTAAATTTTATTATATTTGAGTTAAGGGAAAGGAAAGCATAATCTTGTTATCATGGTTCATTTGATAAACTATGATCCTTGTTCCTATTTCACCAGAGGTTTTTCTCAATACCCTTGTTATTCTGAGGTTAAGAGAAGTGTTAGGTTTAATCTTAAAGCCTGTTTTGATAGTTGCAATTATGGGAATGATAATGTTCATGACAAAAGGATGTTTTTGAAGGAAAAGAAAAATGGGAATTCTAGTAATGTTGAGCATAGATTACAAGGTGGATGTCATAATAAGCCTTTTTGTTTCCCTGATTATCGGTTTTCGCAGAAAATTGTAGTTGCTGTTGATGTTGATGAAGGTTTGTGTTTGTTTCTTGCATGATGATGGCTTTTTTGTTTAACTACTTTGTTATGTAATTTTCTCTTCTGTGTGTTTTTGATTCATCTACTCTTTTTCCTGAACAGTGTTAGGAAACTTTGTGTCGGCTCTGAACAAGTTCATAGCAGATCGATACTTGTCGAATTATTCAGTTTCGGAGTATCATGTCTACGAGTTCTTCAAGGTATCTCCTGGTTATTGTTTCAATTTTTCTATACTTATAGTTACCTGAAAATTGGAAATTTTGCTGGTTATTGTTTCAATTTTTCTATACTCGCATGATAGTTACCTGAAAATCGGAAATTTTGCATTAACTACTAATCCTTCATAATGTAGTTTTAAGCTCAATCTACCTTAGATTGTTGGAGTTGATGGTGATGGAGGCCTAAACAATTTATTTTGGCTCGAGTTCTTCGCTATAAGATGCAACTGTTGAAAACAATTTAAGAGGCTTTCTTTTTTTTTCTCTTATTCTCTTTAGAATGTTATGAGATGTAGTTCTAGTATTTTTCTTTGGAGAGTGTAGGTGTATTATGGGCCATAAAGCATTTGAGAGAGTACACGCTGTAAGAAATCTTACATAATGGTATTTTCAGAGGGGAAAAGAATAGCGGGACAAAAACTGCTCCGGCCCGGAAACAGCTTTGCTTCCGCTACCCGCTATTTACCCTATAGCGGCTACTATAGTATTCTGCACCACTAAGGCTCTTCCCATAGCGGCCGGGCTCCGCTCCGCTATAGTGGAATAGTGCCGCGGTTGACTAATGTGATAAAAACATGGATTTTAGATTATTGATAATCCTGCTCTTTAATAGTTTTCTTGGTGTTTCTAGATTAGTGAACCCCTTATCTCATGCAATTTTACATTATCTTGCATTAATCTATGCTTATGAAAACTCATTTAGATTGTTGTGCTGCATAGAATTTTAAGCAAGTTTGTGTGTGAGACTCTGACGAACTTTTCACTTCTCTTACAGATATGGAACTGTTCACGAGACGAAGGTAACTAACTACATACATTCACTGTTATTGCAAGTTGTGAATTAACCATCACTGTAATATGAATATTCATGGGACCTTAAGAGATAAGATTATTTTTCAATATGTTCATTGATTATCTTTAATCCTGATAAAATTATTTCAAACTGCATAGTAATAGTTGGACTGGTTTTAAATCAATACTATCATGTTGTGCAGCTAATAGTCGTGTTCATGAGTTTTTCGAGACACCATATTTCAAGTCGGGGATCCAACCTCTCCCGGGTGCTCAAATGACCCTGCAGAAATTATCAAGATTTTGCAACCTATCAGTTGTAACGTACGCTTTTGCTACTGATTTTACTTCAAACATGTAGCAGAATCTGCAATTCATCTACTAATATCTCTTTGTTTGTATATGTTTATGATCTCGGCAGATCTCGGCAGAATGCAATCAAGGATCATACACTTGAGTGGATAGAGAATAACTTTTCAGGTTTGTTTGATGAAATTCACTTTGGAAACCATTTTGCTCTTGATGGAGGGTCAAGGCCAAAGTCAGAGATTTGTAGGTCTTTAAATGCGAAGGTTCTTATTGACGATAACCCGAGATACGCAATCGAGTGTGCTGAAGCTGGTATTCAAGTCCTACTTTTCGATTACGAAAACTCGTATCCTTGGTCTAAGACTGAGTTTGCTGAGAAGCATCCTCTGGTGCACAAAGTTGAGAATTGGGAAGAAGTTGAACAAGAACTAATGTCACTGATAGTTTCATAGTTTCTAAAACTCTCTGATGCATCGGGGATTTTTGTTTGAAAGCATTATTTGTCGTAATAGTCTGCAGTGAGGATGGATTTGGATTCCTGCTGCACACGAATATAGATCTTGGCTGTTCGTTCTAAAATCAACTGTCGAGATTGTTTATAGTTAGATTGCTGATGGTGTCATCTGCTCCGTCTGTTGTTAAATCAACGACCAAGATTGTCTGTAACATGTTATTGCATGAACTTGCTACCCGACGAGGATGATTTTTCTGTTAGGTGATGCCGATTGATGCAGGGACTAACTTGATAAATGTTTTACTGTTTAGAAGACTAATTTAAAATTTCAATGATGTTAAAGGTTTAAATTGACACCTTTTTTTTTAGTATCTTTAAAGTGTGATTTGTTCAATAGAAATGTCAGAGAGAGAGTAAGAAGAGAAATGAACAATTCCCCTTGATTGGCACAACAATGAATTTGGAGGGTATTGGATTTTGGGAATTTTTTTCTCTACCCTTACACCTTCTTAGCTACCTTTGACGAAATTCTATTTTTATCTTCCGAATTCAGAGATGTATCTACGACTTATCTCCAGAATTTAGAGATGTATCTCTGAATGCACCAGACTTCATTTTTTCTGGGGTGATTTTGGAGATGTATTGTCGAAATTACGAAATTTCTTTTTTTTTGGGATGATTTCGGAGATGTATTATCGAAATTACGAAATTTTATTTTTTTGGAGTGAATTTGGAGATGTATTTTCGAAGATATCCAATGCTATATTTCGGATGTATATTTCTGAATAAACCTTGAAATAGAAAATTATATAGATATAACATAGATATTAAAATATTGATATTATATAGATATAATATAAATAATAATATAAATTTAACATTGAAAGTCGAAATTATATAGATATTGAAACATAAATTTAATATTACATGTTGTTATAAATTGGTAATTGAGGACATCGCAACGATGTTGAAGAAATGATTTGGACATCCTATTTATAAAAGATTTGGAGCAATTTAGTCCAAAGAATTCTTATTCTGTGTCGGGATATGTTTCAGAAATACACTTATGAAAAATCTCTTATTTTATTAAATAAAAATATGGTTTTTTCGGAAGTATACTTCTGAAACATTCTCTGATAGTTATTTTTTAAATTTCGAAAACGTATTTTTGAATTATGCATAGACAAAATTCCATCTTGGATATTTTCGAAAGTGTATTTTTGAATTCATCCCCAAATTTGAAATTTTAGATGCTTTCGAAGAAATATCTCCGAGACACCTTAATTTGAGATACGTTTGAAGATACATCTTCAAAAAACATTTTCATGTTTTCAAGGGTTTTTTCCGTCTAAAAGGTGTAAAAAAAATTCTGTGTATTTTTATAAATTATCTAATGCTTCTTTCTTTTATATTTCTCTATTTCTCTTAAATCAATCATACACTAAATCAAATCTATTTTATTTTTCACATATCTTTCTCTTATTTCTCTTTCTCATACCAGTCTCTTTCCAATTTCTTAATGTAATCACACTGATCAATAAAAATAATCTTAGATTTAATGGGATTTTGAGTTTTGTTGTATTTAATTACTTTTATGAAATTTATTTAAAGTTTAAACCATTCAACTTTGATGAACAAAACTGGATGTAGGTCTCTTATATTTGTTTTGGAAATTGTTGATTGCATTCCATGCATCACTCATTCATTGCAGTGAAAATTTGAAAATACCTCTCTCACATTATCTAAAATTTGAAATTCGGATACGCCACAACACTACAAACTCAATCTTAGAACCATGTATTACAAGAATCAAGTGCATCATATGGATATTGAAATTTGAATGCTACCATTTAAGTGAAATGAGATTTTAAATCAAAAAATTAACTCTTATGAACACATAGCTCTCAAAAATTCGAGCTTAACATTTTTTCAACCTTTTCCCTTAATATCTACTCCTTTCCATTCAAACCGATCAACTTCATCAACATCTACTTCTCTTCATTCAAGACAAGCAATTTCATCTTTCATATTTGATAAATTTCTCATTCATTCTTGCTTTTTATACTTTTGATGCATGTAATGAAAATCCAAAAATGATTCTAGTTAAATTTCATTAGGTTGCATCCAATAGAAACTACTTAAATTACATAAGGTACATCTTTCATTTGAATCATTCTCTATGCAATTTTCCTTAAGCGCAATATTGATTATTTTGGTATTTTGATGCTTTATTTATTGTATTTTATCCTAATTTGAGTTTTCTCATTGAATCTCTCATTACAAAAGAATATATATTTTCCACGCATTTTATGAAGTGTTGACTAAAGTCAAAGTTGTATGATCCGATTCAAAGCTTGGATGAATCAGTTCAATATTGAAATAACAATTTGAATTAATTCATGGATGATTTGAATTGACACGTGGAAATTTGGAATTGATTCATGGACGATTTGAATTGATTCATGAAAATTTTGAATTGACTCATGGACGATTTGGATTGATTCATGGAAATTTTGAATTGATTCATGGGCGGTTTGAATTGATTTATGAGAAATTTGAGTTGATTCAAAAGGCTAAATGAATTGACTTAAACATGGGTTGATCGGATTCATTACAGTTCCTCAAATGTCATTTTTCATCCTGTTTACAAGACTCAGTTCATACATTTGTTTGATATGATTCAAAAGGCTAAAATGAATCGATTTAAAGATGAATTGATCTGATTCAAATGCTGATTTGATCCTATTCATTTTCCATAAGTTGAATCGATCCATTGGTCATTTGAGTTGATTCATTTAATTCATTTTTGGCTCATTTTTGTGCGTTATCTCATGCACACATAAGTAAGATTTTCATTTCAAAATTTCATTAACTCTTATAAAGAGAACAAGATAAAATCATTTTCAGTAAGAAAAATTAAAGAAACTACAATTTTATTTCTCTCTCAAATCTTCATCTTCATCATTTTCACCGAGACTTATTATGTTGTTTGTAAGTATGTATGATAAGGGATTGTGAGAAACTATTAGTGTTCTAATTATGCATTTTTTAGTGTGCTTAGATTTTATAGCATGTGTTTGATCTTGAGGAAATTTAAGAGGTGAATTTCATTTAATAAAAACAAAAGGGATCCTTTCTCCGTAGATGTGGAGTTTTTCTTTGTGCATCGATTAACTTGTTGAAGAAGAAGTACTTAAGTCTTGAAATTTGGAATCAAGTGAAATAAGTTGTCAAGGTTGGAGGAAAAAGCTCAAGGCCTGAAATTTGGGATCGAGCAAAGATAGGCAAATTATTAAGGTTGAAGGAAAGAGCTCAAGGTTTAAAGCTTATGATTGAGTGAAGATCATTGAGCGTTTAAAGTTGAAGTTTGTTAAAGGTTGGAGATGGTGATTGAGTGAAGATCACAAGGGGTTGAAGGTCTTGTTGCACATAAGATTAATCAAGAAGTAAGAAGAAGATAAATTGTATTTGTATAGTTTATGCTTGTTTAGTGAAGTTGTTATAGTCAAAACCTAAATCAAGAATATAATGGAAGATACAATTTTATGATGGTACCATCAAAGATTAGATTAGGTTCCTGTAAAGAAGATATCACCAAACTAGTATAATTCCTGGCGCACTCTCCCCCCTCTATCTCTCCTCTCAGATTTCTTGCATGTTTGTGTTAGCTGTTATACCATGGTGAATACTTAGCTTACTTTTATGAGTTTCTTTTAGGATATACCTTCACAACTCTATATCATCGGGAATACAAACTCGTTCATGACATCATAAAATATCATATAAGCCAACTTATATTCAAGTTCCTTTCTTTCTTCAATTAGTTTCTTCTTCTCTTGCACTACTTTATCAGTCTGTTGAAGGACATTGATCTTTATCATCAACTCATTTTTGCATTGTAATTTTACCACAATGTAAACCACCAGTTGATGAGTCCTCATTCAAGTCCAAATCATGAAATTTCTCTAATAGTTATAGTCCTTTCACTGCCACGGCCGAGAGATGAAGTTGTTTCAAGCTCAAAGCATTTGCCCCCATATTCCCCTTCCCTGGGAGATAATGTAAGGTGAAGTCATAGTCCTTAACAAATTGCACCCACCTTCTTTATCGTAAATTTAACTCTTTCTGAACAAACAAGTACTTTAGACTCTTATGGTTATTGAACACCTCAAAAGTACAACCATAGAGATAGTGCCTCCATATCTTTAGTGCAAAGATAATAGCAGAGTGTTCCAAGTCATGTGTCAGATAGTTCTTCTCTTGTACCTTGAGCTGCCTTGAAGCATAGTCCATAACTTGTTTATCCTGCATAAGAACACAACCCAAGCCTTGATACGACACATCACAATAAACTTCATATGGTTCCCCTGATTGTGGAAAAATCAACATTAAAGAGGTAGTCAATTTTTCTTTCATCAGTTGTAAGCTATTTTCACATTCTTCAGTCCATGCAACTATTTGGTTTTTCTTGGTAATTTGAGTTAGTGGGGATACAATCTTCCATAATCCTTCAACGAATCTTCTATATTATCCAACTAATCCCACAAAACTTCTTATCTCAATGGAGGTCTTAGGTTGTTCCCAAGCTAACACAACTTCTAATTTGGATGGGTCAACAAGTATACCATCCTTCAAAATCACATGCCCTAAGAACTTAACTTCATCTAGCCAAAATTCACACTTCCCTAAGTTAGCATATACTTGTTTCTCCTTCAATACTTGCAATACCTGAAATAAGTGATCCTCATGCTCCACATTATTCTTGGAATATATAAAGATGTCATCAATAAATACTACCATAAATATGTCCAAGAAAGGATGGAAGATATGATTCATATAGTCCATGAAGATGGTTGGTGCATTGGTTACTCCAAAAGGCATCACCAAATACTGGTAATGCACATAGTGAGTTCAAAATGTTGTCTTGGGAATATATTCTTCCTTCACTCATATTTGATGGTACACCGACTTCAACTCAATCTTAGAAAATACCACCGC